GAATTTTAATCAAATTGAATTATTCGTTGGAGTTCAATAAATTTGACACTATATTAAAACTTTGAATTCCGTCAACCTTACTTAGATGAGTTGTTCATGCCATTATTTGTTGCATTACATTATATCAGTATTCGACGTGAGATCCATCCCTTAATAATATGAAGTTATGCATGATGGCTTGCTACTCGTGGTAGATGGTGCTCTATAAAGGTTCAACCTGCCAAATACTTGATGCAATGACTCGTCTACAACATCCAACCATACACAAACTTTCAAGGTATCTATTCCAAGTTAAGACAAATTTAATTCAAGAACTCTCTCGAATTCATTATTTTTGTGATCTTGTTTTGCAACATGTCGATACAATTGAAATTGCGACCAAGCCGATTTTCGATGTCAAGAATGAGAAAGTAAAATGTAGACCGTATTGATATACATACAACAAACCCATAAATTACACTATAAGAATATAATCAACTAAAGCAATTCCAATCTAAATACTTCCAAACCGAACTACTCCCCAAACAATGGTGGCATCTGAAAAAGAAGTTTACCTAAGAGCATCCCAAAATCTCATGATTATATGCATTTAAAATTTCAGAGAGACCAGACCAGTGGGTAAAACCTTGCAATATTGAAAGAGAGGGCAGTAGTTATATGTGCTGAATTCCATGCAACAATCATAGCCTTTAATTCAATATTCCAAAGTCCATCATGATAGAGTATGGCATCAGATATTTGGTGGGTCCTATTGTGTACCTTTTTCTTGTCCATTTGTGTTTACAATGTTCCTTGAGAATTGGGGTTTGAGTCCTAAGGGAATGTTTTTAAACTTTATATTCCTTTACCAACAACTTCCATTATATATATGCACCCAAGAAATTTTTGGCAACATATAAATGATCTCATTTGTAGATGGGATATTATAATTGAGAATAAGATATGCAAATAAATTGACTATTTATAAAGGTAGGATGAATAGTGCAGAGGTGGGAAATAGATCGACCACTCGTTGGCTTTCGAGCTTGGCTCGTACTGGATCGGCGCATTAGTCGTTCGGACTCATATTGAGACGAGCTATGGGTCAAACCAAGCTTGAATTTTTTTCACTAGCATACTCATCTTGAGCTCATGGATTTAACTTATTTATTAATTTCTTAAAAAAATGAGTGGCTAGTGGGCTTGTGAGCAGACTCGGGCTCGTGTTCATACAAGCTATAGGCTCGAGTTGAGCTCTAGTGTCTAAGGGTCGAATAAGCTCGGCACGGCTCAATTCATTGCCAACCTAGAACAGTGGTGAATAATTTTAAAATTAAAAAAAAAAAAAAAAATCTTCTGTTATGACAATAGAATTTTCAATATAACTGAATAAGAGAATTTAAATTTCAGTGAGATTGAAACATAGCTGAAGAGATGTAAGATGTTTCATTTGCAGTTAATAGGGGTATCATGTGAGTCCTATATAGACTAACTTTTTTTTTTTTATTGAAATTTAGACTAATTAAATTTATAAAATCAATTTAAAGTTTAAAGTCATCTCTAAAATCTCTTACAAATTTAGAAGCCACACACTATGGTGATTGATAAGTTCTATCTTTTGATAGATCTTTAATATGCCATAAATAGAGTATGAAAAAAAAAGTGATAACATACTAAACAACGCGCTTTACATAAAATGGGCTAAAAAGAGAAAAACGGTGATTAAATATGGTTCCAAAATCGTCGACAACCACATGAGAAGTGGTAAGCGTGATTTTACATTTATTCGAGTCACTAAACGTGGACGTTGGGGAGTGTTTTCGTAGGTTAGATAATTTACTATGTTTATGTATTATTTTGGTAGAAAATTCGATATTGGACGAAAAAAGATTAAAAGGAACAAGAATTGATCAATTTAGGATTGAAATTGGACGAATTCTAGAATTCGAAATCCAAGGTGTCAAGTTTGAAAGTGTCAATTAGCGGCCACTTGGTGAAGTAGTAACACGTAACGATTGTTTGAATAAGTAACAAATATATAAATTAACAAATTTTATATTATATTCACACTACAACTTTTTATAAATACGTTATATTAAAGTTCTCTAACTTTTATATATTGTCACACTTACGTATTCGACTTTTTCATTACATTATTATCTTCACGCTTCCATGAATTTTTTTTAAGCATGCTTTAAATAAGTAAAATAAATAAATCTAGTCGCACTTCTGTATTTATTATTTTCCAGTTATTTAAAAATACAAGCGCCAAGTAAGTCTTTTTACACTTGCTAAACATAATTTTCAGACAAAAACCATTGGTGTTCGACAAGATTTGCTAATTAATGGTATGCCGATGATAAGAATGTGGTGAAAAAAGTGAAAGATATAAATATGATAATAAGTAAATATTAGAAATATTTAATATACTTATAAGATACTGTGGTGTTAATATAGCCACTATTATATAGAAACTAGGGTCGCTGAGGTGAGTACCCGGCCGTAAACTTCAGGGCCCGGTGGAATTAGTCGAGGTGGGCGCAAGTTGGCCCGGACATCCACAGTTATCAAAAAAATATATAGAAACTAGTCGTAACAAACGTTTGTTGCACGTTATTATGATTTTTTATGTCTTGTAAAAATATTATTTTGAGATGTTGGATAGTTGTAATATTTTTACATGAATTTCACATAACATGACATGAAAAATAAAATATAAATAAATGATTTTAGTAAATTTGAAGCTTCAAATCTGTCTATGTCAACTTAGGCAAAAGTATTATATCATTCTTATAATAAATGAATATAATTTGATTCCAATTACTTATGATTCCAATATAACATGATGTTTTTCATATTCCAAAATTGTTAGGTGACAACAGAGAATTTTTTTTAGTTAATTAATTACTTATCTTGGGCATGTCATATTAATCAGGAGCGAATGTCATCAGAAGCCTTTTAAGAGGCCCAATTAAGTTGGGCCTACACAAGATTGCCATTTTAGGCTCATTACGACACCACTAAAAATGAGGAAATAGTGGGAAATACCCGGGTGCCCAGACCAATTTTTCAAAATAGCCGTTGACTGGCTAAAAAAAAAAAAAAAAAAAAAAAAAAAAAATCTTCACGCTTCCATGAATTTTTTTTTAAAGCATGCTTTAAATAAGTAAAATAAATAAATCTAGTCGCACTTCTGTATTTATTATTTTTCAGTTATTTAAAAATACAAGCGGCAAGTAAGTCTTTTTACACTTGCTAAACATAATTTTCAGACAAAAACCATTGGTGTCGACAAGATTTGCTAATTAATGGTATGCCGATGATAAGAATGTGGTGAAAAAAGTGAAAGATATAAATATGATAATAAGTAAATATTAGAAATATTTAATATACTTATAAGATACTGTGTTGTCACAAACGTTTGTTGCACGTTATTATGATTTTTTATGTCTTGTAAAAATATTATTTTGAGATGTTGGATAGTTGTAACATTTTTACATGAATTTCACATAACATAACATGACATGACATGACATGACATGAAAAATAAAATATAAATAAATAATTTAGTAAATTTGAAGCTTCAAATCTGTCTGTGTCAACTTAGGCAAAAGTATTATATCATTCTTATAATAAATGAATATAATTTGATTCCAATTACTTATGATTCCAACATAACATGATGTTTTTCATATTCCAAAATTCTTAGGTGACAACAGAGAATTTTTTTAGTTAATTAATTACTTATCTTGGGCATGTCATATTAATCAGGAGCGAATGTCATCTGAAGCCTTTTAAGAGGCCCAATTAAGTTGGGCCTACACGATTGCCATTTTAGGCCCATATACGACACCACTAAAAATACTCTTATCTAAAGACTCTCACCCAGTGCCAATGGTGGCATTAGCACTTGAAAAAAAAAAATTAAAAAAAATCAAATGAGCTCACTGATACTGCCTGCCACCGCACCTCCTCCACTCTCGGCGGCACCGCCGCCTTTTCTGACACCAAGAAACTACATTCCTCCCCATGTATACAAACATCCGGCAGCTATTCTTCTTGAGCTCTGCACTTCCGTGAAAGAACTCCATCAATTCATCCCTCTTGTAATAAAAAACGGCCTCTACGGTGAGCACCTTTTCCAAACCAAGATTGTAAGTTTGTTCTGCAAATTCGGTAGACTAAACGATGCCCTCAAAGTATTCGAGCCCATTGAGTCCAAGACTGATCCCATCTATCACACTCTCCTTAAAGGGTATGTACAACAAGACACTATGATTAATGCTTACAAGTTCTTCTGTCGAATGAAGTGTGATAGTGTAGCTCCCGTGGTGTATAATTTCACATATTTATTGAAAGCTTGTGCGGATAGTTTTGATGCTAAAAGGGGTAAGGAAATTCACGCTCAGTTGATTTTAAATGGTTTCTCTTCTAATTTGTTTGCCATGACTAGTGTGGTTAACTTGTATGCGAAATGTGGGTTGATTAACGAGGCTTATAAAATGTTTGATAGAATGCCTGAGAGGGATTTAGTGTGCTGGAATACATTGATTGCTGGTTTTGCTCAAAATGGGATGCCAAAGAGGGCGTTGGAGTTGATTTTGTTGATGCAAAAAGAAGGGCATATGCCTGATATGGTTAGTGTGGTTTCGGTTTTGCCTGCCTCTACTGCAATTGGGAATTTGAGGGTTGGGAAATCAATTCATGGGTATGTTCTGAGACGGGGGTTGGAGTCATATGTTAATGTTGCAACTGCTCTGATTGATATGTATGCAAAATGTGGGTTGGTTGGGACTGCACGGTTGATATTTGATATAATGGATATGAGAACGGTTGTGTCATGGAATACTATGATCGATGGTTATGCGCAAAGTGGCAATTCTGAGGAAGCATTGAAGCTATTTGATAAGATGTTGGATGAAAAATTAAAGCCAAGTAATATTACAGTTATGGGAGCTCTACATGCCTGCGCTGATTTGGGTGATCTTAAACGTGGTCAATATATTCATGAGTTAGTTAATCGATTGGAGCTTAATTCAGATGTTTCTGTGATTAACTCTTTAATTTCAATGTATTGCAAGTGCAAAAGAGTTGATATAGGTGCTGAATTATTTGATAAATTACAAAGAAAAACACTTGTATCGTGGAATGCCATGTTATTAGGATATGCACAAAATGGTATTGTAACTGAAGCAATTAATCTCTTTTGCAAAATGCAACAGCTGAATATGAAACCTGATTCATTCACACTAGTCAGTGTTATAACTGCTATAGCAGAGTTATCAGTGTTGCGCCAAGCAAAGTGGATCCATGGACTGTCTATAAGGATGTGTTTGGACAAGAATGTATATCTGAAGACTGCTCTTGTTGACATGTACGCAAAGTGCGGAGCAGTGCACACGGCAAGGAAGCTATTTGACATGATGGATGAGAGGCATGTTACTACTTGGAATGCTATGATAGACGGATATGGAACACATGGATTTGCGAAGGAAGCTGTGGAATTATTTGATAAAATGTGCATAGGCAGTATCAACCCAAATGATGTGACTTTTTTATGTATAATCTCGGCTTGCAGCCATTCAGGCCTGGTAGACAAAGGACGCCGCTATTTTACCATCATGAAGGAAGAATACGGCTTAGAGCCGTCAATGGATCATTATGGAGCCATGGTTGACCTACTTGGTCGAGCTGGTCAACTTGAGGAAGCTTGGAACTTCATTCAGGACATGCCTGTTCGGCCAGGACTCAATGTCTTTGGTGCCATGTTGGGCGCTTGCAAGATCCACAAAAATATTGATTTGGGAGAGAAAGCAGCTGACAAGCTGTTTGAGTTGGAACCCGATGATGGTGGATACCACGTGTTGCTAGCTAATATTTATGCCACGGCTTCAATGTGGGACAAAGTAGCTAAAGTGAGAACTATGATGGAGAAAACCGGGATCCAGAAAACTCCTGGCTGTAGTTTGGTGGATTTGAAAAATGAGGTGCACACTTTCTATTCTGGAAGCACAAATCATCCCCAATCTAAACATATCTACGCATACCTTGAGAAATTGATTGATAGAATTAAAGCAGCTGGATATACCCCCGATACCAATTCAATTCATGATGTAGAAGATGATGTTCAGGAACAGTTGCTGAATACCCATAGTGAGAAGCTGGCTATTGCCTTTGGGCTCATAAATACCAGTCCTGGTACAACTATTCATATTAGGAAGAATCTTAGGGTCTGTGGAGATTGCCACAATGCAACCAAATACATATCACTTGTCACTAAACGAGAAATAATTGTGCGTGATATGCACAGGTTCCACCATTTCAAGAATGGAGCATGCTCCTGTAGAGATTATTGGTGATCTCCACTAGTCTTGACACTTCAAAGCTCTAACTCAGTGAATTTTAACATAACATGAAATTGGCCATGTTACTGTGACGAAGGATGTCACTCTGCAGTTTATCATCCATTCTGTTGAAACTTCTCCATGGCCATTCTGCAGGCAATATCTGGTTTTCTTTTCAACAATTATCATCAATCAAACAAACCGAGGGACAAACCAAGAACACTGATTCATGAAAGCATATCATCAGAGCATTAGGCCAAGTTTTTTGCAGTATTTGCTAGGAGGAGTGAACGAGGGACTATCAGTAGCCAATATGTGCAGCCTCTTAATGGGACATGGATGAATTCATGAAATTGCTTGTATCTATTTGACTTGCAATCAGAACCAATATTAGCACCATCGAAGTTCAGACATTGTATTGAAGTCCATCAGTCTCATATATGTTATAGAAGGTCTTCTAGGTGGATGCATATTGCCTGGACATCCATGACCTTTTGCAGGAAAGTAATTCACGGTAGTGATTCAGTTGGGAGTGCAAGGAAGGAGATTGTTCTTTGGTTCCCAGATCGAATTGCAGAATGGACGAGCAGCCTTCACCCTTGATCCACGAATGAAATACTTGATTATATTGAGCTAGAATTACATGCATGGCTCATTTGCTATCGTTAGTTGTAGCTGCAAATTTCAAGCGTTGATGTCAAATTTAATTTTGTAAACCTTCTTGTTCTGGGGATGATTACCTCCTAAAATAATTTCATAATCACTATCCATAACTGCGAAGTCATCGTGTAGACAAAAATGTTTCTTTACAGGTACCTAATTACTATGTCCGTAATTTCTGGCTGCAACCATTTGGCATATGAACTTTTACCCCTTTACCCCATTAGGACCTTTACATATTAAGAGCTTATTTGGTAGGGATTTTTTGGGGGAAGAATTGATTTTGAATAGTGATATGATGGGAAATGTGTGGTTGAAAAAGAAGAAAAAACAGCCCATGTTTGACACCCATTTTGAGAAAAAATAAATTCTGGAATAGTGATTGATGGAAGAATGTGTGGTTAAAAAGTAATGAGAATTTTTGGGTTTATGTGTAGTATTATTTTATTGATAGAATGTGTGGTTGAAATGAAGAAAGAAAAATGAGAATGNAATTTTTGGATATGAATAATTTTACTCGTACACAAGGAGTTATATAAAGTTTTATAGATAGATGAGGTATCAAGAAGAGAGTGGATAAATTTTTATTTTTATTTTTGGTTGGAGAAATTATGACCTAATTATATCTTATTATATCACATGTATGTAAATTAATCGGTAAGTGGTGATATAACCGTTTTGATACGGAAATATTATAACTTTTGGGCTGTCCATGGGCTTCAAGAAAATGGACTAAATTCAAATTCTCCTAACTTACCAGAACATCAGCCCATTTCGCCTCGTGAATGTCATTGGGAAAAGTTTATGGCTCAGGTGTTTAGTTTGTCATTTTAAAAAATCAGGTGCCAAACTTTAAAATTGTAAAAATCAGGTTTCTACTTTTTATTAATTAATTAAATATTTAATTGGTCTCGGATTATTTCGAGGTCACAGATGAAAAAATTTATAGGTCACAGTTAACTTCGTTGGTCACAGATCAAGAATTTTAAGGTCACGGGTAGTTTTTTATAGGTCACAGATTTAAAAAATTTAAAACTTCTACGGGTCATAGCTCTATTTCAGCGAGTCACAGTCTCAATTTCTAGATCACGAACACCCACACAGGCCACAGATTGAAAAAAAAAATCAAAACTTTTATTTGTCGCAACTCTATTTCAGTGAGTCACAGTTATAATTCTTAGGTCACAGACACCCACCGTCGTTAATCATGCCACATCAATAACAAAAAACTACGACCACCACACAGATCACCATCATCATAACACGACCGCCACCACAGATCCACCACCACCACACAAAACATACCACTACAGATACACAACCACACAATCCAGATCTGCGACATTTTCCAAAACCAAATGCAATCAAGACTTGGTCACAACCACCTCCAAACACTTGGCCATAAAATCTAATGACCCAAACCCTCAATCAACTTAACCTTGGGTAACTTCACCTTGGAGGCAGTCACAGTTCTTGACTTTCTCACAACATCAAGAACCGAATCAAAGAGCTCAGCACCCTCTGTATAATGCCCTTTAGCCCAGTTGTTTCCAGCATCAGACTGTCCAAAGACAAAGTTATCCGGCCGGAAGATCTGATGTTGTCCATAACACTAGGTTCAAGATCCATGAGCACGGCACGGGAAACAAACCGGCCCCAGCTAGCCTAGTTGTAGTAGACATTGACCCGCTCCAGTTGTAGATCTGAGTCCCCTTGGTATCGACCAGTGGGATCGATACCGTGTTCGACGCATACTACTTCCCAGAACTTGGCACCAATTTGGTTGCCGCACTGGCCACCCTGAACGGCAACAGCTTCATAGGGAGGGAGAAGGGAGGGAAGGAGAAAGGGTGGAGAGAAATGGAGGCGGCGGGCACCGCGACGGTGGTGAGAGTGAGGGAGGGTTGTGTGGGATAAAATGATAAAATTAGGTTTTAAAGAGTTAATTATTTAATTAAAATGAAAAAAAAAATCTTTTTTTTTAAAGATAAAAAACCTGATAAATTAAAAAAAAAGGTGAAAACCTGATTTTTAAAAAAGAGATACTTAATGACTGGTTTTTGGTAATTTTCCCAAAGGTTGAAGTCTGAAATGCCCAAATCTGTTAATATATTGATTGATCAAGCAAGTCACTGAAAATTAGTTTGCTCCTTGAGGCTTGCAGCAAGAACAAATTCAAATCACTTGGTATTTGGATAAATTCTGTAGTTAGAGTAATGGCAATATAGTGATTCAAATTACATTTTCATTTCATCCACACTTGCAAGAAAGCACAATGGACTACAACTATATAACATCGACGAGCCTTGACAACAATCTAGTTAAAGCACTAAAAACGAGCAATACCCGATACAGAACTTAGGCCAGTTCGATAGGGATTAAAATTGAAAAACTAGCCGTTATTGCTGACTTTTATTAGACGAGTGAGACCCAATAACGGTTATATTTTCAATTTTAATTGGATTTTAAGCTTTGCCAAACATGCTCTTTAGTACAAGCATCCATTAGATGGCAAATCTATCATAAAAAGGCCATTTGTCTTTCAAAAATGTTAAAACAGTTATTGTACTATCAACTAAGAAGGCTGTATGAGGACAAGTCTTCAAGGCGTGCAATGTCTTCTTGTAGAAGCTCTGTTTCCAGGTGACGGCGAGTAGCTTTCATCACAGTCTGAGTGAACAACAGAAGACAAAAAAAACAACGGTGTACAGGAATCATTCACAATAAAATGTAAGCAGAAGAAAATGTAGAGGACGATCATTAACGTGCTACTGTTAAAAAAATAAAAAAAAGTTTGATGAGAAGATAATAAACTGTAGAGATAAATTTAATACCAGAAATTTACATAATTTTTCAATTTTGTTTTAATCACATTAATGATATAATAATAGCCATATTGTTTCACAACAAATAACAAAACTAGTTCATGGGGTCTAAATACAAGAGAATTATTATCTGTGGCCATCTCAAGTAGAAATGGCTGACCTAATCTTCGCAAATACGAGATCTGTAAAGCAGTTGTAGGTTATTGCCTTTTTCATACATTGACCCATTTAAGCATTAATACCACCATATGTATCATTTCCCGGTCCCCATGCACTTTCTAAAGTCCTATTTTGAGTGATCAAAACCTAAACGTCAGAAATTTCTACGGCACCACTGAAGATGGACAGGATGCAGGCAGAAGAAAATGTGCTTTTCACACTATTTTTAATCACATGAACAAAAAGGAGAAACGTACATTGAAGTCCATGTAAGAAGCATGCATGGCTAGCCACTGATGGTCCATCAGCTTGAATGCGATGCAATATAGAAGGTCAAATGCTGATTCATTCTCTGTCAGGTACAAAAGCAGGAAGAATTTACTATTAAGCATTATCAAGCAAATAAAAACAAGTACCCTTTACAAAACAAAGTAATGGTTGTTAAATTTGTGAGTTACTCATATGAAAAATAATCAAATGGGCACCTAGAATATCTGCTCACTTGATCTGATGAGCAGAAGAACATAAAAAACATCCAGACTTCTTTTTAATATAAAACATTAACATTTAAAACTTTTATATGGTAAAGTGAGAGTGGAGCTTAGTACCTGCAAGAAACTTCAAGAAGGTTGCTCCTACCAACGTTCTAGGCTTCACTGCAATGGAAAGACAAGATGTCCTCTTATGAACACATATCATGCATTCAAAATCTCATGTATGTTGTGGGATTATTTTCTGAGTAATCATTCAAGATTTTGCTAATATGTTTGTGTTTACATGTGTAAGTGAAATCTGGAAAGTTATTGTCTGCATTCTTGCAGTTTATTCACATCCCTGAAAAGCATTTTCCAATAACTAAGGCGAAGAAATTTGGATCCACACTTGAGCTACTGTTTACAAACAAGTGTGGAAACGCAAAAAAATAAAACCAAAACATCAGCACGTGATCCAGACTCATCAATTATACTAAATCTAGATGAAAAAAACACCTGCTTCAAGATCAAGCATCTGAATAAGCATAAATGTGATGTTGACACCAGCCACAGCAAAAGGGTATTCCCACAAGGCCCGATCACCTTCCTGCTTTCGGAGAAGATCCTGAAAAGATTTCTGTGGAAAAAAATTAATAAGATAAAGAGCAAACAACGACTTGGATATCCCACAGAACGGAAAATGAAAGGGAGTCTCTGGTGTGAAAAAAATTATGGTAAAACTGTAGACAGAATTTTGGACTCATAAACCCGCATATAAATATGAAATGAATCCAATGGCAAGGAGGAAGGTTGTATTATTGTACTTATGTACACAAATGTTCCTTAACCTTTATAAAAGCAGACTGCATATCGTGCGACACAAAGCCACATTATATCTGAATATGTTTCTCCACCTGCAGAACTTTCCTCACTCAAGCCAACAGGAATCAATATGCAGGCTTTCCACCCCAATATTCCAAAATCAAAAAGCAAAAGAAATTTTTTTATGTTTGAAATAATAATTAAACCAATTCAAAGATCTAAATTGAATTTACTTCAGTTCAACAAGTAACCTTAATATTTTAGTTAGAAGAAACAAGACCATGAGAGAGAGGAAAGTTCAGAGCAAGAAGGTATGAAAATGCAGCCTAGGATCCAATTCCCAAGTAAAGAAAGATCTAAATGACACAACCACAAATTATATTCAAACCAGTTCAGGTGGGCAGTGGATAGTAATACCATGAATTTTCTGGCAGCTATTGTATGATACAGAAGCAACAATTTTGCATACATTTACTATAAAAGAGTGTAGTCATGACTACTACCACAGTTATTCTTCTTGACATATAGAAATATATGATACAGAGAAAAAAAGACCCGTCGGGGGTTCATAATCGGTGAGGTGCCATTCTCGGTAATTGGCACACCAAAGTTCATAATAAGCAAGCATCAAACACATTAGACAGAAAGGCAAACATTATAAAGA